TGTGAGTCAGTGTTAGTAAATATTACATGTATTAACTTAGGATTATTACACGGAAACACTACATGGTCCCACAAGTGAACCGTTACTGGAGAATACAACTGTAGCAGTGTATTGTTCTACTGTATTGGTGAGTGTATACAGCCAGCAGTGTGATGTATTGTTGCCACCTACTGTACTGTATATAGTTGTATCATGGTGTGTACAGTCGCCTGAGGCAGTGTGGGGAGTAACTCCTTAAGACTATCTCACTGAATTAAACTGGGCGTCAAGCACCTAGTTACCATGTTGCTGTCTGTGTTTACGTGTGTCTGAGGGGGCAACAACAAGACTCCACCCTTCCCCCTGGGGTGACTCATCCACCACCATTTGGTGTGGTCTGGGCGGGTCGGGAAATATTAACATGTTTTACGGTCAGTTTGTCTCGGTAAAAGAGAGGTAACTGGTCCAATGGGCCCTGGTCCTAATAGGTCTCAACCTAACCTAACCTAACCTAACCATTAGGACTGGGGTTCGATCGGTGAGTAGTCTTCAGTAAGATAAATGAACATCATCATCACAAGCTGGTCGCCTCGATGAGAGTGAGGGACTGGTACAAGGGCAATCATCTCACCCGTTAATAACATCCTGTTCAGGTTAAGGTCGGTTACGGTATTTAGATTAACTTGGATTAAATAAAGTTGGATTAGCTAAGGTTAAATTACTTCTACCGAGGTTAAGTATGTAGTGGCATTTTGTCAGAGAATCTACGTCATTACCTGGCGTCCACCGTCACCTGTGCACAGCTGTTCACCTAACTACCTCCCCCATCACCTCGCTGGCCACTGTGTCAACCCCGCTAACCCCCACCCATCATCTCCCACCACGGGGTATCACTCCCACACACACACACACATACGGACACACCAAGGGCGAGGCTCTCCCAGGTAGTGGGTTAGGATTACCGCCCAGTGTAGTGTGTTGGTGGCGGGTTGTCTACTACACACAGGGTCGGGAACTGCCACGCCAGCCTCCCACCTGGTGTGTGTGTTTTATTGTACACGGCACAATCGCCGACACAACCCTTAGTGTCAACAAACCAATAACTCCTCCGTCCATGTCGTACACGTTCCACTGCGGCATCGTTTGTTAGCGAGTCTCCTGGTGACGGTGAGCAGCACGTACTGTACCCGGGCTGGTGATAAAGTACACTGCGGCGGTGAGCTCACGTGAACAGGACCGAGTCACGTGACTGCGTCGTTTCAACACCGAGGACGGCAGATAACACCTTCCGTTCACAACCGTAAACAAACATACCTGTATTATGTTTTTCCCACTAACATATACACGAAGGCACCTGCGTCATTGTTTACCTCAGCTAACGCCATATTTGTCAACACAACTCCGTCAACCTTTACTGATGTACTTACTAACACACGGGTTATTATGGGTGGAGATCCCGGGGAAGTTTGTATCAAGAAAACATGATGATTCGTGACCGTGAGAGGGAGAGGCGGAGGAGTGTGGTGAGGGAGGGCCAGGTGTGAGCAGCAGCTGCGCCCCTCCCCTCCCCCTCCACACACACACACACACACTCCTTCCTTCACTACCTCCCTCCTCCTCTTCTCCACACTTCCCCAGATCCCCCTTCACCCCTTCATCCCTCAGCTCCCCCCTCTCTCCTCTAAACACCCTGAGTCCCCCCTTCCCCTATTCTCCACAGTCCTCCCCACCCCACTATTCCTGTCAGTTGTTGGTATAAAAGAGCTACAGTGATGAATAGCAGGAGAAAAACTTAGTTTTAAAGTGTACTGTATGTATGCGTATTGGTGGCGTGCGTGTTGTGATAAGGCGTGGTTACTGCAATACATACTTGCTACCGGCCATGGGTAGAGAAAACAGAGACACGTGTGTGTGGGTTGCTGCTACATGACGTGGGTTACCACAGAGTGAGACACAAGAGACAAGCCGTGGGTGACGATAGTAAGTAGGGTAGGTGACACTACACACGTGACGTCAGGGATCAGCTGATGTTTGTTTACGGACGGCGACCTCGACCTGCCGTCACCACGACTGTTGTCCACATTAACCAAAGTAGTCCTCTCCTGTGCTCTTGCCCCGACCTGCCGTCACCACGACTGTTCTCCACATTAACCAAAGTAGTCCTCTCCTGTGCTCTTGCCCCGACCTGCCGTCACCACGACTGTTCTCCACATTAACCAAAGTAGTCCTCTCTTGCCCTGACCTGCCGTCACCACGGCTGTTCTCCACATTAACCAAAGTAGTCCTCTCCTGTGCTCTTGCCCCGACCTGCCGTCACCACGGCTGTTCTCCACATTAACCAAAGTAGTCCTCCTGTGCTCTTGCCCGACCTGCCGTCACCACGGCTGTTCTCCACATTAACCAAAGTAGTCCTCTCCTGTGCTCTTGCCCCGACCTGCCGTCACCACGGCTGTTCTCCACATTAACCAAAGTAGTCCTCTCCTGTGTTTGCCCCGACCTGCCGTCACCACGACTGTCTCCACATTAACCAAAGTAGTCCTCTCCGTGCTTCCGACCTGACCTCACCACGGCTGTTCTCCACATTAACCAAAGTAGTCCTCTCCTGTGCTTCTTGCCCCGACCTGCCGTCACCACGGCTGTTCTCCACATTAACCAAAGTAGTCCTCTCCTGTGCTTTTGCCCCGACCTGCCGTCACCACGGCTGTTCTCCACATTAACCAAAGTAGTCCTCTCCTGTGCTCTGTCCCGACCTGCCGTCACCACGGCTGTTCTCCACATTAACCAAAGTAGTCCTCTCCTGTGTCTTGCCCCGACCTGCCGTCACCACGGCTGTTCTCCACATTAACCAAAGTAGTCCTCTCCTGTGCTTCTGCCCCGACCTGCCGTCACCACGACTGCCCACATTAACCAAAGTAGTCCTCTCCTGTGCTCTTGTATTTACAAACATTTATACTCCACTCCAGATATGGCATTGTGATCTCCTGAAGATTAGACACCCCAGCTTCTTTCACCTCATATAATTAAACACTCCCAAACCTAACCTAACTTGACCTAACCATCCCGTAGTAGCATTGGGGTGTCTGTTTAATTAATCATCAGGTGAAATAAGTTGTAGGTGCACAATGTTCAGGTGACTCTAATCTTTTATAATCTGTTTAAGCTTCATCACTTAAATAGAAAGTTGTAATGCGGAAAAAGTTGTCTTTCAAGGTGAAGGTGAGGGATCCACTGAATGTAAACATGTGTGTCGTGACGTGAGTGTTGGTAGAGGCAAGAGACATACGTGGGGTACAGGGTGTGGGGCGGTACAGGGTGTGGGGCGGTACAGGGTGTGGGGCGGTACAGGGTGTGGGGCAGTACAGGGTGTGGGCGGTATAGGGCGGGGCGGTAACAGGTGTGGGGCGGTACAGGGTGTGGGGCGGTACAGGGTGTGGGGCGGTACAGGGGGTGGGCGGTACAGGGTGGGGCGGTATAGGGCGTAGGTACAGGGTGTGGGCGGTACAGGGTGTGGGCGGTACAGGTGTGGGCACAGGGTGTGGGGCGGACAGGGTGTGGGCGGTACAGGGCGTGGGGCGGTACAGGGTGTGGGCGGTCACAGGGTGTGGGGCGGTACAGGGTGTGGGGCGGCACAGGGCGTGGGCGGTACAGGGCGTGGGGCGGTACAGGGTGTGGGGCGGTAAGGTGGGGCGGTACAGGGGTACAGGGTGTGGGGCGGTACAGGTGGGGCGGTACAGGGTGTGGGGCGGTATAGGGCGTGGGGCGGTACAGGGTGTGGGGCGGCAGGGTGTGGGGCGGTACAGGGTGTGGGCGGTATAGGGTGTGGGCGGTACAGGGTGTGGGGCGGTACAGGGTGTGGGGCGGTATAGGCGTGGGGCAGTACAGGGTGTGGGGCGGTACAGGGTGTAGGCCACTATAAGGTGTGGGGCGGTAAAGGATGTGGGTCACTAGAGGGCGTGGGGCGGTGCAGGGTGTGGGTCACTGGTGCGGCGGTGTGTGGGTCACTGGGGCGGAACAGGGTGTGGGTCACTGGGGCGGTACAGGGTGTGAGTCACTATAGGGTGAAGGGCGGTACAGGGTGTGGGTAGTGATAAGAGATAATGGGTAGGTCATTAATGGGGCTTAGAGATATATTCACGCACACACACACACACACACACACACACACACACGGACAGTACAGGTGTTATGTATGCATCGGGCTGGTGATGACGGCGCAGTACAAGACTCCGGTAAACATGTGCTCCATGAACGGTTACACCACCATAACATATCATTACTCGCTCGAGCAGAGACCATGACGCTCACTCAGACACGTACGACTGATTCAGGGAAAGCAGTTGTGTTTTTACAGGTTTGGTGAAGATATAAGATTACCTCTTGACTGTCTAACTTAATGTACAGTCCCCTTCACTAGTGCGTTTACAGGGGCTCGTCATATAAACATTCCACAGATCATTACATGGAGATATTTGTTTTAATATTGTTTTAATTTGATTCCATAATATATTTACTATTGTGAGTTTCCTTCTGTCGAAGGTAAACAAACACAGGGCTGCCACACTGCAAAAACCTGATTCACCAGTGAAGGAGACTGTACAGTACGTCTCAGTGATGGCGGCTACAATGGTGTTAAAATATGTGGTGGGATAATCTAGCGCCCCTGATCCCCTGTTACGGAGGAGAACAAATGTAAGAATCTTTGAAAATCTGTTCGTGACACTGCAAGTTATAAAAAAAACATTGTGACCAGGACAACGCTGCCAGACAGTAGACATCGGGCGCCTGAAACACGGTGGCGCCTCACCATGAGAAAATGCCCCTCCCTTCCCCACACAAACATACACACACACACCGCGAAAACGTTGCCAGATCTACGTTTTATTAACACAGGGAAGCCAAGACGCTGCCAGACGCAAGATACTACCAGGAGACCCACAGCCACAGGTCCAACCACTGACCTTGACTTACTCACTCCAGGAAACACTTGAGCTAAGGTACTCACGCCTGCAGTCACTACTCACCTGGTGATTACCTGCCGGTGATTCCAGGGGATCCTTTACCTGGTTCAGTGACTCGGCTTCCTGGGTGACAACTGGTCGACCGGGCTCTTGATGCTTCTTGTGTTGAGTGACTACAGCAGCCCGGCTCATCAGAAACCATTTAAAGAAACTTGTCAAGATCTCTACTGATCTCCTGGTGACGTGTTTTCACTATATATATTTACTGGTAATCACCAGTTCTAAACACTGCAGGATGCCAACACCACGTACACCACCGACTGTAAGGGACAACTCCGTCAGGGTACACAACACCTCCCGCAATGACCTCATGTTAAATTTGAAAAGAGGCAAGTGGCGCGACAGTCAACACGGCCACAAACCGGTAGTGGCAAGGTAGAGGGAGGGAGGGAGGGGGAAGAAGGGAGGGTTTGAGGAGAGAGCGGTTGGTTGAAGTTGGAGGGAGGAAGGGAGTTGAAAGGAAGGGGAGGGGTTGTAGGGTGGAGGGAAGAGATTGAGGAGAGAGAGAGGGGAGGTGGGAAGAGGTGGTGAGGGCCAGCCAGGATAATACCATGGACCCTGCACAGGATCCAGGCGCCGTGTCTGAAAAGAGGAGCACGAGGGTGGGGGGGGACCAGGGAGAGAGAGAGAGCGTGTGTGTGTGTGTGTAAGAAAGGTGGTGTTTGTGTGAGAAAGGGGAGTGCTTGTGTGTTGGTGTTGAAAAGAGGGAGTGTTTGTGTGTGAGAGGAGTGTTTGTGTGTGAGAGGGAGTGTTTGTGTGTGAGAGGGAGTGTTTGTGAGAGGAGTTTGTGTGAGAGGGAGTGTTTGTGTGTGAGAGGGAGTGTGTAGAGAGGTTTGTGTGAGAGAGTCTGTGTGAGAGGGTGTGTGTGAGAGGGAGTGTTTGTGTGTGAGAGGGAGTGTTTGTGTGTGAGAGGGGGTTTGTGTGTGAGAGGGAGGTTTGTGTGAGAGGGAGTGTTTGTGTGTGAGGGAGTTGTGTGTGAGAGGGAGGTTTGTGTGTGAGAGGGAGTGTTTGTGTGTGAGAGGGTATTAAAGGTTTAGCCCACAGCAGAAAAAGAGATTTACGGACAATATTTTCTTGTCACTGTCAGGGTTTAAGGGTAAGAGAGGGCGTGTTCCTCCTATACCGCTTTACTGTGACCAAGGGTGACCTGAGCTCTTCCCCGACAGGTAAACACTGGAGGAGGTCACTTTATAATGGTTACTTCCCTACAGGTGTGTGTGTGTGTGTGGCGGCAATGAATATACCTAACTGTCGGAATCATAAAAAGAGACTTCACTTGACACACAAACACACCACACCACACACACACACACACACACACACACACACACACACACAAGCCGGGAGCGTAACAAAACCGCTTATGAGTCACAGTCGACCATCCTGGAGTGGTAAAACTTCTACCTCCTCCCTCCCTCTCTGTATGTGTGTCCCTCACCTTCATGCATGGTGGGTCCCTCACCTTCCCCTAAGCCTAAGCTTCACCTCCGTACCTGTCTGAGTGTCTGTCTTTTGGCTGTGTCTCCGTCTCACTTTGTACCTTCCTGTGTCTGTGTGTGTGTGTGTGTGTGTGTGTGTGTGTGTGTGTGTGTGTGTGTGATGATGGTCGGGAAGTATAAGTGAGCAGAGCAGGGATGTGTGGCTGTGCACAGATGTGTCTGTATATGTGCACAAGTGTGTGTGTGTGTGTGTGTGTGTGTGTGTGTGTGTGTGTGTGTGTGTGTGTGTGTGTGTGTGTGTGTGTGCGTGCGTTCGTACGTGAAAGTGAGTTAAACAGGATCTTGTGTGAACTGCAGTTGACTCCAGTTTATGGTTTACATTGAAGCTCCTGAACACAATACACATTTTAATAGGACATTTTCACTGTATATTCGTGCCTGTGTGTGTGTGTGTGTGTGTGTGTGTGTGTGTGTGTGTGTGTGTGTGTGTGTGTGTGTGTGTGTGTGTGTGTGTGAAGATGTTTCCAGTGTGTGGCTGCGGGGCTCAAGGTTAACATGATACTGATTTTGAGGCCTAAACACACACACACACACACACACACACACACTAACTCACTGATATGATCCCCTAAGATAATGTAGCGTTATCAAGCACCAAGAGTTAGTTGCCTGGTGGTGAGGTGGTCGTGGGTGACAGGTTACCACTCAGCCCACCACCCAGCCCACCACCCAGGTCACCACCCAGGTCGCTACCCAGCCCACCAACCATATGTCCCATATGATAAAATTCCACCAATAAAATAATGAACTCGGCGAAATCCCGTCACATTAGCGTTAGATTAGATTAGCACTAGGTTAGGTTCGGTTAAATTTACACTACGTTAGGTTAGGTTAGATTAACGTTAGGTTAGGTTAGGTTAGGTTAATCTTTATGTGACAAACTGGGGTGGATATTATTTAAGTGATCCAGGTAACAGGCCCCAACCTGTCACAGACTTTACCCCCATGTGTAACGGAGGAAGAAAATGTCTCTCTTTCAAATACAGATTAAGACTCCGGCGCTCGTAATAAGATAAGACATTGTAGCTCGTTAGGCACCAATTAGTGTCGCTCGTTCCTTCCAGGGCCAGTCACCCCACGCAGCGAGGCCCCGGGGTGAAGTGTGTTTTTTAACGCAAATATTTTACATTCAGGGAGAAGTAACTGACTCATTAATGGGATCACCCCAAGAATTTCTACCCCAGCTTATTTCACCGAAAAATTAACCACCCTAGAACTTTCTCTGGACATGAGGTGAGGGAAGCTAACCTAATCTAACGCTAACTTTACGTAACGTAACGCAAACCTAACCTAACGCAAAATAATAATAATAATAAAACTAATAACAACAATAAAATAATAATAATAATAATAATAATAATAATAATAATAACAACAACAAAATACTCGACAGTCAGCCTCTAGGACTCGTACAAAAATAAGCTTCCTCGCCACCACCGTCGTGAAGGTAGATGTGGTGACGGCCGTGGAGGTGGAAAATACCTCCATGGTCGTGGGTTTCCCTACAGGTGTACGGTGGAGGTCGTGGTGCCAGAGGTCCACCGAGTGTGGTGTCAACTCTCACACCCCGAGTCCCATAACCTCACTGTGACGACGCCTCACTCTGGACGCTCGCTACACAAGTCTTGTGTCAGTTAGTATGGACAGCCGCTGGTATCAGTAATGTCACGTTCATCGATTGTCATCACTATCACCTGGGATAAACACTTGGCTCAGTAACATCACGTATCGATTTAATATTATCTACATCATCATCAGCAGCAGTAACAGTATTTTAGAAGCAGCTGCAGCACTACTGTAGGAGGGAGGGGCAGCAGCTGCAACACTACTGTAGGAGGGAGGGGCAGCAGCTGCAACACTGCTGTAGGAGGGAGGGGCAGCAGCTGCAACACTACTGTAGGAGGGAGGGGCAGTAACTGCAACACTACTGTAGGAGGGAGGGGCAGCAACTGCAACACTACTGTAGGGAGGGAGGGCAGCAACTGCAACACTACTGTAGGAGGGAGGGCAGCAACTGCAGCACTACTGTAGGAGGGAGGGGCAGCAGCTGCAGCACTACTGTAGGAGGGAGGCAGCTGCAACACTACTGTAGAGGGGACAGCAGCTGCAACACTGCTGTAGGGAGGGAGGCAGCAGCTGCAACACTCTGTAGGAGGGAGGGGCAGCAGCTGCAACACTACTGTAGGGAGGGAGGGCAGCAACTGCAACACTACTGTAGGAGGGAGGGGCAGCAACTGCAACACTACTGTAGAGGGAGGGGCAGCAACTGCAATACACTAGGAGGGAGGCAGCAACTGCAACACTACTGTAGCATGAGGAGGGAGGGCGGCTCTGTGTGCCTCAGGACATCACGTGAGAGCCGGAGCTCAAGACGCCCTTGCGGTCACCTGCCGCAGTGACCACAAGGCCGTCTACCCTCCCTCTCTCACCATGACCTACCATCACCATCATCCATCATCATCTGTCATCGCCATCATCATTCATCATGTCATCACCAACATCATCATTATCTGTCATCACCATCATCATCATTATCTATCACCACCATGACCCACCATGACCACCACCATGCACCGTCACCATCATGCACCATCACCACCACCATGCACCGTCACCACCATGACCCACCATCACCACCACCATGCACCGTCTCCAACAGCATCTCAAGTTAAAATTAAATCTCCATCACCTGCTAATACAATAAACGTTGTCACCACTTAACACCACACTACCACCACCTGCTACCACCATCACCACCACCATTACCTACCACCACCACCACCTGCTACCACCATCACCACCACCATCACCTACCACCACCATCACCTGCTACCACCATCACAAGTATCAGACGCCAGGAGAGAGAAAAAAAAAAAAAGAGAGAGAGAGAGAGAGAGAGGCTGGTGGGCGTCACCTCGGGGAAATGTCACCACCACTGTATTATTAACCAGTGTATCACCCATCCCCTTACCCCTGTCACCATACCCTCACCATACTCCACACCCACACACTACGCCATCCATACTCACACCACACGCCACACCAGCCTAAACACTGTTCTCCTCACCTTACACCACACGTCGCAACACACTACACCACACACACTATCCTCCCCACCCCTCACTCCCATCCCCCCACCCGCCCCCCCTTACCTACCAAACAACTCACGCCATCCACACCTCACCACACCCACACACACCACACACCCTCACCTGTCTCACTTGCCCTCCCCTCACCATGCTGCTAGCCCCCCAGCAGGCACAAAACCCTCAAGTATTTTTTAGGTAAGCCTCTTTTGATGGAACACGGACAGTTACACCATCTGTTGAACCCCCGGACAGTTACACCATCTGTTGAACCCCCGGACAGTTACACCATCTGTTGAACCCCCGGACAGTTACACCATCTGTTGAACCCCCGGACAGTTACACCATCTGTTGAACCCCCGGACAGTTACACCATCTGTTGAACCCCCGGACAGTTACACCATCTGTTGAACCCCCGGACAGTTACACCATCTGTTGAACCCCCGGACAGTTACCTTTACACCAAAGACCAGACGAAGCCGGTTTAATTTACAAATTGCTCTTTTTTTAACCTACCTTCCGGTGATGTTAGGTCGGGGGGGGGGGTTGAAGGGTCAGGGTGAATTTTCTTGTGGCCAGACATATATACTGACCATTTTAGTCTAAAAACAACAACGACGACAACAA